CCTCTCAACTCCGTAAACAAAACCCCACCACGAGAAGGCAATGAGTAGGACTTCCCTGGCAGAGGATATATACGCGTGGTCATGTGAGAGCATTTCGTGAGGGCCGTACCAGAGCATTTTGAGGGGTGGGAGCACTTTTTCGTCTTCTGTTTCTCTCTATTATGACTTTTCTGTACAGTTTCTAACCAGAACCCATGATGAACTGAACTCAGGACGTTCAACTGAACTAACTTACATCAAAGAGTTATCATCTAATGAATTCACATGATTACACTATCATCATCATTAGTGTTTTCTGTCTTACTCTTCGCATGATTTAACTAAACCAGGTATAAAAAATTGACTGACTGGTGTTCTGATCACCTGACATAAAAAACTTGTGTGTTGTACGGTAACGAATAAATATTTTATGTATTGTTATATGAATCAGGTTTGAAGACAATTAAACACTATGTGGTATGTTGATTCTGTTGGGGAGACCCAGAAAACTCCTCGAAGAAAAAGCCATAAAAGGATCTGAAAACATTGAGAAACATGTTATCCAATTAGTATTCAATAGAAATTTTACCAGGAAACATCTACAAAACAATAAGTCACATGTCACGTTTCCGATTGGATGGTTACCTATACTGTTACTGTAATTAGTAGCATCTCAGAAATTTACGGAACCTCAAGTCTGTACATAAACGAACCTTGGAGTAAAGCATTTTCTTCCATATTCCACATCTTTTTGTCTCACGTTCAACTTGTTTTGTAGACTTAGTCTGGGTGTTACTAGAAGAGCTTAGGAAACTGAATCTATCGTTCAATTAGAAAACGTATCAGATTCATTTCAAGTGTAGATTCCTCCCATTTTATTACTTTCAAACTAAGTACCTATGAATAATAATCCATATATAGATAACTGCCTAAATTAATTAATGAACAGTTATTTTGTATCTAAAAATAGCTAATTAACTCTTTCTATTATATAGTTTTGTGGTGTATACTACTGATATTGGCAAATATAAGTAGTATGTATCGTCAATCGAAAGTGAAATGTCTATCGGCAGAAGGTTAAGAAGATTGAAGAAAAGAGAACGAGAACAGAAAATGATTGGTGGAGTACTTGAGAAGATCTTCAACATCATATGTAATTCATACAACGGACTACAATGCAAAGTCATTCATAGAGGACAGCTACCAGATGTATTCCAATTGAGGACCAGTGTTGAACAAGGCTACTTAATCTCCCCTTTCTCTTTCTTCTGGTGGTCGACTGGATTTTGAAGACATCTGAGGGAAAGCATGGAATATGATGGACAGTTTGGAATCAATCAGAAGATTTGGACTTCATAGATAAACTGGCCCTTCTATCCCATACACATAAACAAATGCAGATGAAGACGGTTACTGTAACAGCAGCCTCTGCATCAGTAGACCTCAATATACACAAAAGAAACAACAAGATACTCAAATACAACACAGAGAATACCAATCCAATTACCGTTGATGGAGAAACGCTGGAAGATGTGGAATTTTCCACGTATCTGGGAAGCATCATCAATGAATGTGGAGAATTAGATGAAGACGGAAAGGTGAGGATTCGCAAAACAACAACAGCATTCCTATAATTGAAGAATATATGGAACTCAAAACAACTGTCTCTCAACCAATATCAAAGTCACAAACTTCAATATGAACATCAAGTTGGTTAGTTCTATAGTAAGGAGGTGAAACGTCGAGAACTAACACAACCATCATCAAGAAAGTTTATAAATAGTTGTCTATACAAGATAATCAATGTCCATTGACCGGATACCATCAACAACAGCCTTCTGTAGAAGAAAATAAAATAACTTCTATTTGAAGAGAAAATTACGAAAAGACATTGTAAGTGGATAAGATATATACATTACAGAAATCATCAAACTGCATCACGAGGCAAGTACTAACTTGGAATGCTGAAGGGAAGCGAAAAAGTGGTATACCAAAGAACACACTGCGTAGAGAATTGGAAGTAAACATGAAAAGGATATATACCAACTTGAATGGATTGTCCAGGATAGAGTTCAATGGCAAATCATAGAAGAGCGGCACATGCTCCTCCACGAATGATGGTATACATAAGTAAGTAAGTAAGTAATTCAGTGTAAAACAATTCAATTGTGATACTGTTTGTTTGTTTGTTTGTTTGTTTGTTTGTTTATCTATTTTAAATCTAATTTTACTGTATATTCTATTAGAACTAGACATATAGTATAATAAAATCCTTGAACTTAATTTTAGTTAACACTAAACTGTTTACTATTATTATCATCATCATCATCCTGATCATCATCCATTTGAAGGATGATTTCAAATGTATTAAATGTATATATATCTATATATATATATTTGTTATATGGTAATGAATGATTGATGTTGACCTTATATTCATAAGCTTCCTGTATGAATGAATCTGAAATTTTAAAAAAAAAACCCATCATAGTTACATATCTGTAAATGATACTGTAGATAACTTCTGGTCAATCCTGTCCTGTCCACCACCACCACCACCAGCCCCCTCCCACCATCACAACCACACCTTTCCATAAACTAGTTTTTATATATATAGGATCTGTTTAATGTATATATGTATGAATTGAATTCTATTTTTCAGAAAGGGTTTTTGCGGGTATTGTAGTAATTTCAATAGTTGAGATCACGAATCAATTGATGCTAGACTAATACCGGAAAACTTGAAGTCAATGGATGGCTGTTTCGTCTTAGTATGTAGCTGATGAGCAGTGCATATCTACGATTTCACCTTGCGAGATTCAAACACAGGACCTATTGATCAAGCACGGAAACGTTTAACTTATAAACCACCAAGTCAGCATCCAACGGTGTTAATGTCTAACTTTAACCAATCCATGAAAACGCGCAAACGTTTACCATTGTCTTCAATGAGTTACTATTTCAGAAAAGATCTGGTTGAACTCCATTGGCCACTGCTTCTCACTAGAATACAAGGAAATACATCTTGGAGACCGTCACTAGTGAGTATATGATGATTATAATCAGAGGGGGGTTTTATGGATATTGTATTAATTTCAATAGTTGATATCATGAAGCTAGACCACCATTGAAAACTTGGAAATACTGAACTGCCGTTTAGTTCCATTGTGGGACTCCTCATTGGTAGTATACTAAAATGAAACGGTCGTTCAGTGTTTCTAGGTTTTGCATACTGGTCTAACTTTAATTGACTCATGAATTCAACTATTAAAGAAACTAAATTATCTGAATTTGTATTAACTTTATGGAATATTTTATAAAATAAAAAAGATGGGGGAGGGGGGGTAACATGTATGTTTCCACAAGAAGAGAGTATTTTGAAAAGTATATAATATATGTGTATTAATGTCTCCTAATAGAATGCTAGATTTGGTTCTTAAGCTGTTCTAGTAACCCCTCGGATTAAATCTACACAGCGACTTGAACACAAGAGAAAAGGTGTGAAATATGGAAAATAACTCTATACTCCAAGGTTTGTTAATGTAAAGAAAATGTAGGGTTTTTATAGCATTTTAGATGGCCTTAGGCTTCCGGGAACTTATGGAATGCTTGTAGCAATATAGATAATCATCCAATCAGAAACATGACATGTGACTTTTCACTTTATAGATAGATGTTTCCTGGCAAAACTTCTATTGAACGCTTAGCGTTTATAAAGTCATTTTTGGAGCTGTTTTTCGAAGAGTTTCCTGGATCTCTCTAACAATTTATTGAACAAAACGGCAGTACGATTCTGTATAGTAAAGTAATTGTTTTTCTCTTTCGGATTATTACTAATTATCTTTTTGCTTAGTTAGTTAAATTGCAATAACAGATCTATTAAACGAAATGCAGTATTTCCGATTGTTGAGATCATGAATCAATTGAAGCTAGACCATCATGGAAAATCTGGAAGTACTGAAAGGCCGTTTCGTCCTATTATGAGACTGCTCCTTGGCAATGCACATCCACAATCCCGCCTCTCGGGATTCGAGCTCAGGACCTACTGTTTTCATGCGCAAGCATTTAACCACTAGACCACTGAGCTGGCATCCAATAGTGTGAATGTTTAACTTCAACTAGTCGACAAAATTGACCTATTTAAATGAAAAAGTAAAGAACACATTGTGTCAAGAATTCAAAGTAGACATCCAAAGAATGAATAGCAACTGGAAACAACTGGAAAGGATTGTCCAGGGCATAGTTAGATAGAAAATGTTGATAAGAGGCCTATACCCCTCCATGAGGGGTAACATGCATAAGTAAGTGGACATTCAATACTTACGCTGAACAACCTCTACTGTAATATTGTGAAAATGAAACTGACGTTTAAAGAAAACAACACTTGGAAAGTGGTATAGATTGTGAATAGTTGACTAAAGAAAATCATTTCTCAAGAATTTATTTGACATCAAATATCCATGAATTAAGTTTAATGTTAGATATAGTTTATATGTCTTTTTATTTATTTATTTGATCACAGATATATCGATATAAGAGGGCAACGAATACATATACACTACACAAGTCACTTGATTTAAGAGTAGGTTGTGATATTGTCCGGGTGAACAAACCGAAGCAGGTGGTTTAATTAAGGGATCACACCCGGAGCCTTCGACCTAAAGGTATGATCCACAATCCAATAGAAGAATGTAAGGAGATGAAGTTCCATAGTAGCCGGTTACCAACAATAGATTCATACACCATTTGTTCCTTTAAGATCCTAAAGCCTATGTACATCAATGATTTGGAATGAAGGTTTTCCAACTCTCCGTGTCCACCAACCCGGTTATAGCGCCAGACATTCCCTTTACATCCTCTCAATTTCGTAAACAACACCGTCGCTACTAGCAGGGAGTAAGTAGAACATCCCTGGCAATGGCTAAATACACATGACCATGTGAGAGCCTTTCGAGAGAGAGAGAGAGAGAAAAAGAGAACTATCTCTCCCCACCCTGGGCATTTGGAGGCATGAAAAACACAATAAACAATCATAATCATAAACTCAAAAAGAAAATCAATCAAAGCAAATGCATATAATTTTTATTTTTATTTTTCATTAGCATTTAATTGTGCTAAGTAAATTGCATTCTATTTTGCACAATTTTACACATTCAATATGTATCTCTTTAATAGTTCAATGTTATGTCATGTAAATAGTTCTGATTTTGTTTGTTTGTATGTTTGTTTGTTTGTTTGTTTTTCGAGTTTCATTTGTCAAATTTTAGATAAAGTAATTGATAAAAGAATCTTGATTAATCGATTGATTGATTGATTCATTGATTTATTGATTTATTGATTAACTATTGTTGTCAATAACTCTATCTGTTTATGATTAGAATAAAGTTGATAATTTTCCAAAATGTCTACTCCAATCATTATGTCTTGATGGAATAGTTTCTAGAAATTGGAAAAGAAGAGGAACAACAACAACAACAACTACTACTACTACTAGTACTACTAGTACTACTACAAGGAATACATTCAAAGAAGATCATTTAAACAAAAACTAAAAAATGATGAATAAAGTAGGATTATACTTTATGAACGAACCAATCAGATTTAAGATGACAGATCTTGGATTTTCGCGCGAAATTCATTCATCTATGAATTAGATTAAATTCTTAATATAATTATAGATATTAACTAATTTTGTGTAAATCTAAATAAATAAGTAAAGTATAAGTTCGATGCTACCTGATTTTCAATAGTTTCTTAATTGAACTCAATTCATGATGTCAAATTACAAATTAATGAAGCAGTTAGATCCTTTGAAACACACACACACACACACAGATACTCATACACATACACACACACACATTTGATTAAACAATTTAAGTAGATACTTCCAAATTTATCATTAACACAATAGTAATAACCGAAATTTACTTGGTATTGTTTTACTTGTATCTTCTCATTGTTATTTAAGACTGCAATTGATCAGTCTCATGTTGGTATATGTGCATCCTGTGCGGATTGCGTTGATATAACCTTAAGTCACAAGCTTTTTAAGCGAAGATAAATATTGGTTGCTAGTGGAATTTAATTTGACACACGTCCTGTCCTATTTGGGACTCGTCAACTAAATGTACCTACATGTCAGAGTTGATGTCCACTTTGGGACTCGAACCCAGTACAGTCGGCTTCAAACGCCATCACGTTATCTACTTAGCTATTGAGTCCTGATAATCACCTGGTTCTGCAATGGGGTGAGGTTTAATTTCACTTGGTATTTGATTGAGATCATGAATCGACTGATGTTAGACCACCGTTGGAAACCTGGAAGCATTAGACGGCCGTTTCGTCCTAGCATGCGACTCCTTAGCAGTGCGCATCCACGATCTCGCCTCGCGGGATTCAAACCCAGGGCCTTCAGTCTCGCGCGCGAACGCTTAACCTACTCGACCATTGAGCCGGCATCCAATGTGCTCACTAGTGACTAGCTTCGTGAGGGAATTCTCGAAGTTCTAGTGAGAAGCCTTGACCAGTGGAGCTAATCCGTGTCGGGTAGAGACAGGTATCTACCTCAGTACAATGGAAGATGGTCGCGCAATTTCGTGAATTGGTTGATGTTAGACACCAACACTATTGGATGCCGGTTCAGTGGTTGAGTAGGTTAACCATTCGTGCGCGAGACTGAAGGCCCTGAGTTTGAATCCCTCGAGGCGGGATCGTGGATGCGCATTGCTAAGGAGTCGCATGCTAGGACGAAACGGCCGTCCAATGCTTCCAGGTTTCCAACAGTGGTCTAACATCAGTCGATTTATGATCTCAATCAAAAACTTGATAATCTCCACAACCCCAATAATGATAATTCACTTGGTATTGTTTTACATGCATCTTCGCATTGTTATTTAAGACTGCAATTAATCCGTCTCATGTTGGCATATATGTATCCTGTATGGATTTCCTCAATATAACCTTAAATCACAAGCTTTTTAATAGCCTAATATCTTGATTTCTGCATCTATTTTTAGAATGGAAAAACGTTAAAGTCTATATAAGGTGAATTAGCATTATATATCCCCCCCCCGCTAGTAGTCTAAGATGTATTACATTACATGATTTAGAAATTAAATGAATTGCATAACAAATTAAAACGTGTCGATTTATTCGTTTGTTTAAAAATAAACAAAAGAGAAACAGATGAATTAGTTTCTAGAATCAGTAGGAATATCCCCTAGATACAAGTGTAAATATGTCTAGTTAGTGTTACTATACAACAACAACAACAACAACAGAAAAAAAGATCATTCAAAGTTCAATTGTCTGATTTCATTTTATCCTATATTAAGCGAATTATACAAAGTAAATAGTGTAAACATTATTATAATTGCTATTATTAGAATTATTAATCATGAATTAGTTGAAGTAAGACATTAATACCATTGGATATCGGCTTAGTAGTCTACAGGTTAAACGTTCATGCGTGAGACCGATAGGTTCTATGGTTCGTATCTCAAGAGGTGGGATCGTGGACACGCATTGTTGAGGTATACCGCACTAGGACGAAACATCCGTTCAGTGATTTCAGGTTTTCTATGGTGGTCTAGCTTCAATTGACTCATGATCTCAACTATTAAAATTACTATAATCTTTCTTATATTCCAAATAAATGTTGACTAAATTGTTTAAAATAATCAAATTGTTCATTATATATACTCATCAGTAATTCAATTTGACATAAGAAGTGATTATCAATGACAGTGAGTCATATATAGGATTGAAACAATGATTGCCGACGAAAATAAGCAACAATGACTTCTACCTGAAGTCTATGCTGAGGATGTCGTTCAAAAGAACGATCAAAACTCTACAAGTAAACCATCCAGTCCAGAGAATGAAACTCTATCCAAAAAAAACACAGTGAATACTGTTTCATAAGTTAATTGAGACAGGAAATTTGCATTATTGTATTACAGCTCATTGATACAAAAGTAGTATGCTTATGTCAGGAATCGTAGCTACACAGTTCAATCCTTTATGTACTTATGGTTATACAATATTGTATAGTCGTAAAATAAAGCGTAAATCGATTCAGTGTTCAGTAATTTCTAATACCTATCTAACAAAGAAGAATCAGGGATTGTAACTACAAATTATATCATAAATGGAAACTTTTGATGCTGAGAACTAATATAGAATATGTATTCAAGCATATATTATTGTAAAACTATGAGAATCATAGGTTACGTTAATTTCATGTTAGATTTGTAACAGTTGAACATTTATTGATATTTAATAGTTGAGTTCATGAGTAAGTTGAAGCTGGATTATCATGAGAAACTTGGAAGCATTGGATGGTTGTTTCGTCCGAGTGTAGGACTCCACAGTTGTGAGCATCCAAGATTCCACCCCACGGGATTCGAACCCAGGACCTATCGGTTCTGGGTTCTTTTCAGTGTCATTTGGACGTTTTACCATTGCATATTATGTTCAGTATCCGAATCCTAATGAGATCACTAAAATGTAAAGCCTAGTGGAAATGTGTGCAATGTCATAAATAATGCATTCCGAAAACGGATCAGACTCATTCACTTGATATTGTTCACTTGAATCTTCCTATTATTGTTTAGGACTGATATTGATCAGTCTCTCCCTTATTGGCATATATGCATCCTGTGAGAATTGCCTCAATATTGCCTTGAGTCACAAGCATTCGATTCAAAGATAGATAATGGCTAGAAATGAAATTCAAAACTCACGTTTCCTCCTATATGGGACTCGTCAACTGGATGTACCTGCATTTCATAGTTGATGTTCATTCAGGGACTCGAACTTAGTACCGTTCGCTTCAAACGCTATCCCGTTATCTACTTAGCTACAGAGTTTTGATATCCATTTGCTTTTGAAATGGGATAAAGTTTATATTCATTTGATGTTGTTTGCTTGTATCTTCTCGTTATTATTCAGAACTGCAATTGATCAATTTTATATTGGCTGATATGCATCCTGTACGAATTTCCACGATATTGCATTAAATCATAAACTTTCTAAGTAAAGGTGAATAGTGACTAGTAATAAAATAGAGGACACAAGTTTCGTTCTATTTAGGTCTCATCAGCTGTATGTACTTGCATCTCCGAGTTGATGTCCACTCCGAGAATCTGTAATGGAGATACATTCAGTTGACGAGCTCCAAATAGGACAATACGCGAGTCCTGAATCCCACTGCTAACCACCATTCATCTTTACTTACAGTGGATCAAATGAATCTTCTATTTAATTATATAAAATGACATAGACCAAGTTTTATTATCCTGATTCACATATTTACTGAACACCTAAATACTGTCTCTAAATTTGTTTTATTATTATTATTATTCTCTCACATTGAACTACTAATAACCTACTGTCTAAACTAGTGAATTATTCATTGTCAGGCTTCTGTTGTTGTTTTTGTTGTGATTTAGGCTACCATTGTTTCTTTTACAATATGAAATAACAAAAAAAAAGAGTAATTTGTGTAGTTCTTGAATGTCTAATACCATATTGTTTTTCTTAGCTTCTCTCTTCTAGTTTTCTTCTTCATCTTCTTCTTCTTCTTCTTCTTCTCCTTCTTCGTCTTCGTCTTCTTCTCCTTCTTACTAATATATATCCGGAACTAATGTAAACAATTGACTTATGTCTAGACAATTATACCTTTATGTATCTGTATATGTATATCTATATCTATCTATAATATTCAATATGATATATTATTCATTAATCATTTGTTTTGATATTGTTCCTAATTTATCCCTATTAATGGAGTAAAATAGAAAATACACTATAGTATGATGTTTTGTTTAATTTGTAATTTGGTTGTATGTTTTATTCTGTTCTTCTTGTTATTGTTGTTGATGTTCTTCTTCTTCTTCTTCTTCTTCTTCTTCTTCTTCTTCTCCTTATTCTTTCATTTTTATCAATGTAGTTTAGAATATTACCCCCAAATGCCCTAGTACGACCGAAGGTGTGGAGAGTCAGCTCTCTCTGTCTCTCTCTAAATGCTCTCACATAGTCATGCGAATATAGCCACTGACAGGGAAATTCTACTCATTGCCTTCTTGAGGCATTACTGTTGATTACGAAATTGAGAGGGCGTAAAGCGAATGTCAGGCTTTTTAACCGGGTTGGTGGATACGGAGAATCTACCTAGTGGAGTTGGAAAACCTTGATTACAAACCAATGGTTCATATGGGCTTTAAGATCCTGAGGGAACAAATGGCGTATGAACCAATTATTGGTCACCGGCTACCATGGAACTGCATCTCCTGACGTTGCTCTACTACCTTGTGGATTAGACTTTTAGGTCGAAGGCTCCGGATGTCCCTCCCTAAGAACACCACCTGTTTCGGTTTGCGCACCCGAGCAGTATCTCTGCCTTCACACAAATTGAATGATTTATGTGGCACGTATCTGTATCGTGCCCCTTTGTACCAATGTTTATGTGTTTAAATAAATAAATATAAATCTGATACTTATATTTATATAGTTGAGATCATGAATCAATTGAAGTTAGACTACCATGGAAAACTTAAAAGCACTGAACAGCTGTTTTGTCCCAGTATGAGATACTTCAGTGGAGTTCAGCGGGGTCTATTTTGAGATAGTAACTCATTGAAGACAATGGTGGATGTGTCGCTCAATTTTGTGCATTAACTAAACTTAGACATTAACACCGTTGGATACTGATTTACAGGTTTAGCGTTCGCGCTCGAGACCGATAGGTCCTGTGGTTCAAATTTCGGAAGGCGGGATCGTGGATGGGCACTGCCAAGGAGGAGTCTTACAATAGGACGAAACGGCCGTCCAGTGCTTTCAGGTTTTCCATGATGGTCTAGCTTCAATTGACTCATGAATTCAACCATTAAATTATAGAAGGAATTTCCATAAATCTCATTTGACTTATTTATTGGATAGAAATTTACTGTTAAAACTAAAGTAATAAGGATTTTAAAAACCTAATTGAACAAAGTATGATTAATTGAGAGGATTATAGTGGCTCACAAAAAGATTTTTCTCTCATATAAGGTTACATAAGTATGCTCAAATTATGGTAGATGTATAGAATTTCTAAGCAGTTATCCATATTATAAAAGAAGATGGATGGTGGCTAGCAGTGAAATGCAGGACGCAAATGAACTTAAACTTCATCCCATTGCACAAGCAGGTCGTCATTAGCACTCAGTAGCTAAATGGACAATGCGATGGTGTTTGAAACGAAAGGTACTAAGTTTGAGTCCCGAAGTGGACGTCAACTCTGAGATGCAGGTATATCCGACTGACGGGTCTCAAATAGGACAGAACATGCCTCTTTGATTAGAATGCTTATGACTTAACACAATATGGAGGTAATCCGTACACCATGGACATACGCCAATAAGAGACAGATCAATTGCAATCCTAAATAACAATGGGAAGATTCAAGTAAACGATACCAAGTGAATTTAAAATTCACTCCATCTCACAAGCGAGTGGAAATCAGAACTCGGTAGCTAAGTGGATAACACGATGACGTTTGAAGCGGACTTTACTGGGTTCGAATCCCAAAGTGAATATCAACTTCGAGATACAGGTACATCCAGTTGACGAATTCCATATAGGACGAAACGTGCTCAAATTGCATTCCACTACTAGTTACTATGCATCTTTGCTTATGATATTATTGTTGTTTTACAAAAAGTCGGTATTGAACTTTTGAAACCTAAATGTGTATGATAGTTTTAAGATCAATTTAATCGGTGTTCCTTCTATTAAAATAGATGACGTGACGTGTTCTGGCAGAGCGGCGTTGGATGTAGCGGGTGCTGCCTACGAAGAAATACTGTGTGACATGCGGCTGCTTGGTGGATATTGGATGTAGATAGCTCAGCAGGTCACTGCTGCACAGGCGTCGGACGTCCTGGGTTCTGAGTGTACGTCGGGTTTTAATGGCCCAGCAGGTTGACGGACCTATGAAGGTCAATGCGTCGTAAACTCGACACTTGACGGAGAGTGTGGCACGGACTGCAAAAGAGAAGAACTCCAAAGAATAAGAAAGGGGCATGGAGAGCAAAACAATCGTAAGAACAACTGCTTTAAAGCGGGGATGAGTGTGATTTATGCTACTGACGTCAACAGATATAACTGGTATATATCATCAATCGAATGTGAAATACCTAGTGGCAGACGGTTAATTGGATCAAAGAAAAGAGAATGAGAACGAGGATAAAGAATGATTACTGTTGAAACAAAGCAATAATGAAGTTTGAGACGATTGACTGACGTTTTGCTAATGAGGTATTTATTGTATAGTTCTTAGATTTTACTAGGCCCCCAAATGCCCTGGTACGGCCGAGAGTGGGGAGAGTCCGCTCTCCCTCTCGAAATCCTCTCACATGGTCATGCGTATATAGCCTCTGCCAGGGAAGTCCTACTCACTGCCTTCTCGTGGCGAGGGTGTTGTTTACAAAAATGAGAAGACGAAAAGTGAATGTCCGGCTCTATAACCGGATCCCAATTCTATGGTGCACATGGGCTCCAGTATCCTGCGGGAACAAATGGCGTATGAACCAATCGTTGGTCACCGGCTACCATGGGACTGCATCTCCTTACGATGCTCCACTGCCTTGTGGGTCAGACGTTCAGGTCAAAGGCTCGGGATGTGGCCCCCTAAGAAAACCACCTGCTTCGGTTTGGGCAGCCGGGCAGTATCACAGCCCTCACACAAATCAATTGAGATTTGTGGGGCACATATGTATTTGGTGCCTCCCTATACCTATACTTATGTGTTAAAATAAATAATAATAATAAGATTTTACTAAACGATATCATATTTACTATATGACAATATAATAGACTATTTGAATTAGCTTTTAATTATTGTACAAAATGTTACCAACACAAGTAACATTTCATAATTTCTATTTGCATATAACTTACCACTACAAAATTCTGGTTTTTTCAATTCAACAAATTTATCACTTAAACAATTGACAACATGAAGAAAACAAGTATTACGATAAGTTTTTCCATTTGATCCACAAACAACTGGCCAACCATATGTTTGAACTGGTGTCTTCCAAACAGGATCACCAAATACTTGTGTTCTTCTTTTACCTGGTATACCTGCAGACGACGACGATGATGATGATGATGATGATGTTGAAGTTAATGTTTCTTGTCCATTTCTAAATGATGCATTACAATCTAATGGTAGTTTAGCACAATCCATACAAATTGGTTGACCAGTTAAATGATGTGGACTACATCTCATTTCAGCTCTTGGACATTGTATATTAGAACATGTAGCTTTACCTATAAATAAATTGAAATAAATTTAGTTAGAGATTAATCATTCAAATGAATTAGATCAAATTAAATTATTTACTTTTAAACTGAATGATACTGGGTTCGAATCCCAAAGTGAACATTAACTCTGAGATTGTTGGAGATGTTAGATCCTCAGAATTCACTTGGTAAATCACCTTATTTTTGTAATTTTATTATGAAAATTTGAATTTCTTTGTTTTTTGCGCCAAAAGCTCTCTTTTCCCCTTTATGTTGTATTTCCCACTTGGGAAAATCTTAGACGCTATTGGTTCGTTGTATCCTTTTAGTATACCATTTTGTAACACTTCCCAATGACAATTTATTGCTGCATATATGTGTTTGATTTGTGCCTGTTATTATTGCTTGTGCTTCTGACTGCTTGCAGAATATCTTTTTCCGTTCGAACTTGAATTTCTATCTTTAGTTAGTGGGGCTTGGATGAATCAGAATAGCTAGCTTATTGGTCATTAGTCACATGGTGTTTGTTCCGTTCGCTGACTAGGTGAACTCTTAATAGCTTCAAACATAGCAGAGATACAGGTACATCCGATTGAAGAGTCCCAAATAGGACGAAACACGTGTCAAACTAGATTCCACTGTTAGCCACTATCCATCTTTGCTTAGAATACTTGTAAGTTAAGGTAATATCGAGGCAATACGCACAGGATGCACATATACCAATAAGAGACTTATGAGTTGCCGTCTTAAATAACAATAGAAAGATTCAACTGAAACAATGCCAAGTGAACTTATAATTGGTATTCCATAACACTTTGATAAACGGTGCTCTCATGATTTAGGAGCTCATTTATTAAGTTTTTTCATTCGAAAACATTTCATACACAAGCTCCAGAGTCCTATATAGTGCATTACCAGAGATGTAGGCATATCTTCCTGATGAGTTCAAAGAGGTAAAAGAAAGAAAGAGCATACCGCATTTTACTACTAACCATTTTAGATGTAACTCAGGTTATAGGGATATTAATGAACCAAACATGGTTTTTATCAACTAGGAGTTTATAACTCCTCAGTAATGTAAAACGCGACTTTAAACTCTCTGAAAAACAACCCGATAATACACAGTTCAGCCAAGAAAATTTCTTTTTTAATTATGTTCATTCCGATAACATTTCCAAGTAGACTATTATTATTGAATTGTTCAAATAGAATGGTTTGAATTATTTTTTTCTGATTAGCGTTTTTTTAGCGAGTCAGTTTTCTATGGTATGGGGTCGCTTAACCTATGCCCAACCCCCCTCCTTTATCCGGGCTTGGGACCGGCAGTAGCTCAAGAGGGTCTCCAGGGGAAGTACGTCGAGAAATGGAGACAGACATGAAAAGAATAAACAAAAATCAGATGAAACTAGAAAGGAAGGCTCAGGATAGAGTGGGTCGGCGAATGCTGATCGGTGGCCTATGATCCATTGGGAGTAACAGGCGTAAGTAAGTAAGTAGGTAAGGTTTAAATGCAAACAAGACAAAACATTGTTAAATATTAATCTAATATGACATTAAAGGTAACATATTTTTTGTGAAAATATGGTTTGCTTCATGGGGAGAATTTATTTGGGGATATTACTGAAAGCTAAAAAATTACTGGAAAGAAAGATATGAAGCGATTTTAATCTCATAGTTTAAGGGAAGATAGAGAGTGGATACACCTGAGCCATATCACCAAGAGTCTCCAACCGTTAGTTACGTTAGTCACGCGGATTCCAACTAAGTAGTCTGCATCTACTAACATGTCTCAGATCAGAAATTAATGGTTTCAAGCACTGATGCCAAGTTTTGGTTTAGCCACCCCAAACTTTCTCCCAGTCGTCTCCAACACTAGTCAGCATTGCGAGTAGTGGTAATCGGTGTTCAGGCATACGTAACACGTGGCCTAACCTCATCAACTGATTTATCATAATTTCCTAATACTCTGAGTCTAATCTCACTCTTACTCACTCGGTGATCGCAGAACGTGCTAGCAATATTTCTAAGACATCTGTGGTTAAATACTAGTTGCTTACGAGCATTTTCTACTCTTAATGGACATGGTACGCAGAAAATGATCAGTGTTGAAACAAAAGAACAATGAGGTGTGAGACAATTGACTTATATTTGTAAAAGGAACAGTTAAGTTTGAGAACACTGATTGATACTTTGCAAATGAAGTATTTACTGTATGGTTCACAACAATACTTTCACATCAATTCCTTGAACTAAAGTAGTAATAGAATGAACAGTACAACTCTCAATTTATTTCAAGACTCAATGGCTGAAATACACGTCAAGTTGAGAGTTCCTTGTTAATATAACAAGTGTTTAATTATTATCAATTTATGGTTCATGTGAGATAATTAACGTAATTTGATGAAAAAGTGCTGGTGATCTCCATTAGATTATGTACCATCAACCAGATCACACCCCCAAATGCCATGATACAGCCAAGAGTGGGAAGAATCCGCTATCCTTTTCAAAATGCTCTCACCTGGAAGCGCACATACGGTCACTGTCAGGTAAGTTCTACTCACTGCCTTCTCGCTGCGGGGGTATTTTATTTCACGAAATTGAGAGGATGAAAAGCAAATATCCGACGCTTTAACCCGGTTCGTAGATACAGAGAATCTATCTAGGGGAGTTGAGAAGCCGTGATCCCAAACCATTGGTGCACATTGGCTCCAGGATTTTAAGGAAACAAATGGGATATGAACCAATTATTAGTTACCGGCTACCACGAGACTGTATCTCCTGACATTGTTCGACTGCCTTGTAGATCAGATCTTTAAGTTGAAGGCTCTAGGTGTAGCTCCTTAAGAAAACTACCTGTTTCGGTCTCTGCACCCGGGGCGGTATCACAGCCCACACACAAACCAAGTGACCTGTGTAGAGCATATGTATTCGGTGCCCCTTTGTACTAATGTTTATATGTTCAAATAAATAAATAAAGATGATTTAGAAAAACGAATAAAAGAGGTGAGAATTGAGATTATCTGATGTTACTTTATGGTACCAAGGGAGTTTATATACTAGAACGAAAGAGTCGTCCAATGCTTCCAAATTTTTCAAGATTGACTCATCAATTCAACTATTAAAATCAAAATAGTAAATCACTAGTCTGGACCTACATTCAGAATATTGTGACTGCTAGGTTTTGGGTTCGAATCGTGGATGCTCACTTCTGAGGAGTCCCATACTAGGACGAAACAGCCGTCTAGTACTTCCAGGTTTTTACATGGTGGTCTAGCTTCAATTGACTCATGATTTCAACCAGTGAAATTTTTAAAATCTCCACAAAACCCCTTCTGACATTATGGAATATCAATGAATTTCTATCACGAAATAATTAGTCAATTTATCTTTACAAATCAGTAGATGTATGAATATGAACTCATATTGTAGTGTGAGCTACTTATAACCACATAAGTAGTATATAACGATAGTCAGGAATAGAATGTATTTCAGTGAAGGATTGAGTAGGAAAAAACGAAAACGGAAGGCAATTGGTATGAAAATCCAAGAACAATGAAATTTGAGACGATGGACCGCTATTTACAAAAGAAACAGTCAAGTTTAAGACAATGGATTGATATTTTTCAAATTAACTATTTACGGTATTTTCAATAGTTGAGATCAATTAAGTCAATTGAAGCTAGATCATCATGGTAAACCTGAAAGGACTGGACGGCTATTTCGTGCTATTGTGAGACTCCTCCTTGGCAGTGTATATCCACAATTCCGCCTCACGAGATTTAAACCACAGGACCTGTCAGTCTCACGCTTAAGCGCCCAACCACTGAGCTAGCTTCCAATAGTGTTAATGTTTAACTTTAACCAATCCATGAAAACGCGCAATCGTCTACCATTGTCTTCAGTGAGTTATTATCTCATAACAGATCCGATTGAACTCCATTGATCACTGCTTCTCACTAGAACTTCAGAAAATACCTCTTGAAGCCAGTCATTGGTAAGCATATGATGATTAGTATCAGAAGAGATATTTGTGGATATTATAGCAAATTTAATAGTTGAGATTAATTGAATCAATTAAAGCTAGACCACTAAAGGAAACTTGAAAGCACTAAACGGCCATTTCTTCTTATTGTGGGATTCCTTAGTGGCAGTACGTATCCACGATCATGCCTCATAGGACCTATTAGTCTGGCTCGTGAGCACTTAATCTTTAGATTACTAAGGTTACCGGCATTCAATGATCTTAATGTTACCCTTGAATGTTCTTGTTTACTTATAATATAATTAAAGTTAAATATAACTTACTTCTACATTCTCCTTTATAAGCAATTCTTACTTCTAATTGATTTTTTAATCCAGCTAATTTAAGATCACAACTATTATAATATGTTTGATTATTAGTACTACATATTGGTTCATGAAATGTTGATTCTGGACAATTATTTAATGTTTTCCATGATTGTTCATTCCAATATTCACAAGATGGACGTCCATCAAATTGACGTAATAAACAATATTCATTTGTATTACATATTAATTCTTTAGTTAATTCATCATTAGAATAAATTGTTTTCTCATCATAAATTGATTCATCTATATTTGTAATATATGGATTAAAATCAGTGGATGTTCTACGATTCATAATAATGATATTATCATTTAAATTATCTGTATAGTCTTGATGATCTGTTGTGGATGAGGAGGAGGATGATGATGATGATGATGATGATGATGGTGATGATAATGAGGATCGTATTGTATTTGTTGTTGAAGTTGATGAAGTTGATGATGATAATGATGATGATAATGACGAAACATCTTTTTCATTATCTAATTCATTATATAATGTTTTAAATAATGTATTTAAATTCAAATTTTTTTCAGATAATATACTTAAATCTGAACATCGTAAACCTTCATCAGGACATGGAATTACTTCAAGACTTTCTTTTGGTAATTTACAACGTGCTTGTTTTAAATGACATTGATTATGAAATCGTCTTAAATTAGTTGTACATAATGGACCAGTTAAATAATCAGCTGTATTACATTGTAAACGACATTTACATTTTGGTTCATTATTAATCATACGACAATAATGTCCTTCAGGACATACATATCCTTTACATGTTGAAGGTAATTCTATATAATAAAGATAATAGACATATGATGATGATAATAATGATAATCATTGAATGAAAGGAAATGTTTATGTTGAATGAAATAATTGTATGCAAATTAGATCAGAGGAACCTACTCCTTCTATCTTATACACATGAACAAATACATAGTTATATAACAGTTATATAATATACCCTTGTGGGCCAGGGTAATTTTACATTGGTTTTCAGGAGAACCAGACACCGTCCAGACTTTCACGTGACAATCAAAACAGTACAGCCCAAGCCTGTTTAACAGGAGAGCCAGACACCGTATAGGCTTTAACGGTACAATCTGAATGGTGCAGCTCAATCCTGTGGCGCAACCACACAGGTACCAAGCACCCTGGTGGACCATTCGCACCATTCATAGACACATTTACGTCAAATACAGAGAAGACAACTAGTGTAGTATTAGTAGGCCTCAACATACACAAAGTGAAAAGCAAGATCTTCAAATACAACATGGATAACACCAACTAGATCACACTCCGTAGAGGAGTTGTAGTAGAACTGGACTATCTCACGTATCTAGGAAACATCATCGATGAACAAGGAGGATCTGATGCACATGTAAAGGTGAGGATTGGCAAAACGACAACATCATTCCTATAATTGAAAAATATATGGAACTCAAAACAACTGTCTCTCAATCAATATCAAAGTCAAAATCTTCAATACGAACGTCAACACAGTTCTACTGTATGGAGCTGAAACTTCGAGAACTACTACGACCATCACCAAGAAGGTTCAAGTATGTTTAAATAATTGTCTACACAAGATACTCAATATCCGTTGACCGGATACCATTAGAAACAGCCTACTGTGAGCGAGAACAAACCATCTTCCAACCGTATAGAAAATTAGGAAAAGATATTGGAAGCGGATAGGGAACCCATTATGGAAATCATCAAACTGCATCACGAGCTAAGCCCTAACTTGGAATCCTGGAGGGAAGCTGAAAACTGGAAGGCCAAAGAACACACCACATCAGGATTTGGAAGCAGATATGAAAAAGATGAATAACAACTGGAAAGAACTTGAAAGAATTTCCCAGGACAGAGTTGAATGAAGAGCGTTAGTGGGCGGCCTATTCTCCTCCATGAGGAGTAACAGGCGTTAAGAAGTAGATCAGAGAAATGTTCAATCAAATTTGGATTAAGATAGATCACCTTTATGTTAAATGTTTAGTTATGGTTAACCAATCAAAATAACTTCGCCCCCCCCCCCACACACACAGACAGACAAAGGTTTACTTTCGCTTATTAACACTAATATGTAAATACCGCCATACAGGACTTTGAACTGATTATATGTATATGATCATTCCTTGTTTCATGCATATATAACTTGTTAAGAAAATTATATAGGAAAATTGTCAATAAGTTGATGATATTTGATCGAAAGCTATGGAAGATGAAATACTGCACTGACAAGGGGAATATCCTATCTAATTTATTGTTTCTTTGATATAGTCATCATTTGTGATGAAATGTGGTAACCGAGATGGAACAAGTCTATGATTATAAGGGTAGGTTAAAGGGTATAAGATTGACGTACCTCAAACTCTGTAAACTATATCATTTTCTAATCTCTTGAGAAAATTAGTTTTAAAACTAAGTCTTTTTATTTATTGAATCTCTGTTATATCCCAGCAACAATAAGGAATGGTAACTGTTGGGATCGATTTATGGACTAATACTATACGTATTTTATGATTGTGTAATCGTTAAGTAATTAAACTATTCATATTCATGTTTCTCTTATCATAAGCTTTATAATCACCTAAAAGACTATTATTATATCATTTATCATTCTTCAGTTATTTCCAGTCTATTAATGACAGTCTCCCACAATCACAGTCACTTTTGCCAGATCTTGTACAAATGTTGTTTCCTATTTCATAGTATGATGTAGTCTGTTTGGTTTGTATATAAACGCAGTATGTTTGATCAAATACATGATTTATATGGCAGAGGCTGAGATTGGTGTTCTGGACATAACGGGAAGTGCTGGGTATGAAGCGGGACCGGTAAAGACTGTAGACTGCTCGTATGGGTTTATGCGTCATTGGTTCAGTCGATAATTTATTGTTCTCTAATTGGCGGTATCATTACGTCATATTATTAATAGGGCAAAAAGCCACAACTGATAACAATCTCTTGATTTATTATCAGAAGAGGTTTTGTGGAGATTTTAGTAATTTCAATAGTTCAAATCATGAGTCAATTGAAGCTAGACCACCATGAAAAAACCTGGAAGCACTGGACAGCCGTTTCATCCTAGTATGGGACTCCTCAGCAGTGCGCATCCACGATCCCACTTGCCGGATTCGAACCCAGGGGCTTCAGTCTCGCTCGCGAATGCTTAACCTCTAGATCACTGAGCTGGCCAGCATCCAACAGTGTTGATGTCTAACCTCGACCAATCCACGCAATTGTGCGACCATCTTTCATTGTACTGAGGTAGATACCTGTCTCTACCCGATACGGATAAGGACGAATCGGCCGTCCAGCGCTTCCAGGTTTTCAACGATGATATAACTTTGTATGATATTTATTCTGGTATATAATGACTTACATAATAAGAATAAACTATAATATTAATACTATTTACCTTCATTACATGCTTGAACACAATTTGGTGTACCAGATTCAAATAATAAATGATCCGTTAAATATTCTTGTTGAGTTATTTGACGATTTAAATAGAATCCACCACGTTTACAACATTCTAATTGTGATATACTCTCTTCCATTAATCCAATACAATTACCACTATTTAAACGTTTTGCAAAACATGATCCAGTTGTCACTGTTTTAAATTTAAAGAAGAAGAAGAAGAAACAAAATAGATGCGTTGGATGAAATAGAAGAAAAAGCTTATAGTAAAGTGTTAGATTGACGATTCTTTTTTCTGGTTAGCGTCTTTTTTTTCTAGTGAGTTAGTTGTCTACGGGAAACGTGGAGAACTACGAAAGCTAACATCCAGAAGATACAAGTGTTTATTAATCGTTGTCTACGCAAAATACTTTAAATCCGTTGACCAGACATTATTAGCAACAACCTACTGTGGAAGAGAACAAACTAGATTCCAGTGGAGTAAGAAATCAGGAAGAAGTTCTGGAAGTGGATAAGATACATATTGAGGAAAGCATACAACTGCGTCACAAGGCAATCCCTCACTTGGAATCCTCAAGTCCAAAGGAGAAGAGGAAGACCAAAGAATACATTACGCTGAAAATGGAAACAGATATGAGAGGAATAAACAACATTTGGATAGAATTAGAAAGGAATGCCCAAGACAGAGTGAGATGGAGAATGCTGGTCGGCGGTCTATGCTACATTAGGAGTAACAGGCGTATGTAAGTAAGATTAATGATATAATGCTTGTGAAGTAAGGCTATATCGGGGGAAATCCGCACAGGATGCACATATGCCAATGGTAAGAGACTGATCAATTGCAATCCTAAATAACAATGGGAAGATACAAGTAAAACAACACAAAGTGAATTGAGCAATAGTTTCCAGCACGTTATTCATTCACTATGTTAGATTGTGTTGTTGTTGTTGTTGTTTCAATAGACGTAACTCTTTATAAACTTCATTTTGTTCCCAAAATGTAAAATGGTTCATATAGGAGTGAAACTGAAAATATATGAAGACAATAAAATATGGAACCACAGGATAGATCTAGTTCCCTTAACTCTAACAACTAACGAAGGATGCTTAGAATAATAAAAGCAGAAGATGAGATGAGTCCATTGTTAAAAACAAAGAGTATTTTGAAGGGAATAAGATTGATTTACACTAAACTCTGTAATATGAATATTTTCATGACTTCAGTTCGTATATTTATTGTAATGGTGCAGACAGCCCTCAGATGAACTCGAAGAAGCTTCAAGAAGATCAGAAAGAGTCGAAGATATTCCATGCAATCATCTTTTAGAAGAATATTCCAGAATCCCTAGATGTAACTTCCCAATTGGAAAAAAGTTAAAACCATTGTATACGAACTGGATGACTACAATGATAATTTCGTTTTCACCATATTTGACACTGTTTAGAATAGAATTCCTTCTTAATCGTCTTCTATGTTTTCATTTATGACTTCGAAGGTTCTAGCGTTCGAGTACTTACGTAATACGTGATATATCAAAGAATCTAAGCTCTATCAGTTTAGAGGTTGTGGAGATTGTCAAGTTTTTGATTGAGATCATGAACCGATTGATGTTAGACCACCATTGAAAACCTGGAAGCACTGGACGGCCGTTTCGTTCTATTGTGTGACTCCTCAGTAGTGCACATCTACGATTCCGCTCGTGGGATTCGAACCCAGGGCTTTCAGTCTAGCGCACAAACGCTTAACTTACTCGACCAGTGAGCCGGTATCCAACGGTGTTAATGTCTAACCTCAACCAATCCACGAAGTTGCGCGACCATCTTCCATTGTACTGAGGTAGATACCTGTCTCTACCCGACACGGATTAGCTCCACTGGTCACGGCTTCTCACCAGAACTCCGAGAATTTTCTCACGAAGCTAGTCACTAGCGAGCACATTGTAATTATCAATTTAGATGTTGTGGAGATTGTCAAGTTTTTAATCGAGATCATGAACCGATTGATGTTAGACCACCATTGAAAACCTGGAAACTCTAGATATAACACTAATTGTAAACTATTCAACATGTAATCAAAATGAACCACTAGTTTCTTCAACACACATTTGATTTAGTCTTTTGAAATGGAAGAATTAAATATATATTGTACCGATTATTATGTGAGTTGTATGTGATACTGGATTTCAGATAGTTATTAGGAATCAGATCAAAGATACATGTAGTTCAGTTACATACAATAGTTGTATTGTTTTAAGTTGGTGACTTGTTTGAATATAACAAATGACTAAGGCAATATTGAAATACCATTTGTCGATCGATTACGCTGTTAACATCATGAATTAATTAGATAATATCATCAGAAATAGGGATTTGTGGAGATTGTAGTAATTTAACAGTTGAATTAAAAAGAAGATCTAAATAAGAACATCATTTAGATTGAAGGTCATGGGTTCAAGTCTCACATGTAGAATTGTGGATGTACACTGTCAAAGAGGAATTCCATACTAGGACAAAAACAGTCGTCTATTGCTTCTAAGTTTTCAATGATGATCTAGCTTAGATCAACTTTTCAATTCACCTGTTACAATATTTGAATATAAACTAAAAATCTATCTATAATTAAGCTTGAAAAAAAGGGTAAATCAGGTTGTAATAAGTATTGTTTCATCATAGATATTGGATTACATAATGAAGAAAATGACGTAATACTTATTAGTTGGTTCTATTTAATACCCAAATTAGGACTGCTTTATTGCAAGTTGAGTCAATAATAATGATACATAAGATCATTTGAATAGATACCTTGATACTTTCCTTGCTTTAACACACTTACACTTCACTTGCTCCTGTTACTCCTAATGGAGCATAGGCCGCCGACTAACATTCTCTAACCCACTCTGTTCTGAGCCTTCTTTTCTAGTTCCATTCAATTCTTGTTCATGTTTTAACAACAGCATGTTTAATGGTTATAGAATTCAGAACATACGTTTGATCCTATTTGTGACTAGTCAAATGGATGTACTTGTATTCTGTTACTAATCTTTATAATAAAACTAGGATATAATACTTATCCTTTCAAGTATGCTACTAATTATTATTCATAATAGTTTGCATTATCTCATTAAGGACTAGATTGAATCATTCTATGATAGACTATGAGTTCCTATTATGAAACAACAAATTCTGAGTTTAACCCTTCAGATGAATGAAAATAACACTGAGATCCTGGGTCATTGTAAATGAAATAAAATATCAATTCTATTCATTTGGTATTGTTGTTTGAATCTTCCCATTGATTTTCAAGACTGTGATTGATCAGTCTATTATTGGGATATGTGCATACTGTATGTATTGCGTTGATATAGCCTTAATTCACAAGCATTATATGCAAAGATGAATAGTGGTTAGCAGTGGGATCCAGAGCGCTGGGTTCGAGTCCCTCAGCGAACATCAACTCTGAGGTGTAGGTACATCCAGTTGACGAGTCCCAAATAGGACGAAACGCACATCAAACTGAATTTCACTGCTACCCACTATCCATCTTTACTTATAATATAGAATATATTTGTAAAAAAAAATATGAAGAAAAATAATCATAAGACTCATTTGCTATGCCTAATTTACCCGAATGTAAAGATAAAGAGGTTACAAACTTCTTATTATTTGTTACCATAATTCATCATAGCCCTTCTATTGTATATAAAGGATACAATCGAATCTCATAAAGAAAGGTACCAAGTATATGATAAACTATACTAAATGATTTGATTCTATCTACTATGTGATCTTTATCAGTCAACTATAATAGAATGAAGTTTATGACAAGCACAAAGAGAAGTATTCATTAACTTATTAGCTAAATTGTCTAATTGTAACCACCTCCCACCCCCAACCCCCACACAACCCCCCCCCCTTACTTTAATGTAGTTTTCTGAACAGAACTGATTAAATTCATGGATACATATGAATATGGTAAAACTAGGTAATTTATCCTTTAACTCTATTCATTATTTTCTTTCTTTTTTTCATGAAGAGGTAATATGGAAAAAGAGAAATTAACTTCATTAGACCATTATTACCTTATTGTTTCGCTTTATTTATGTTTTATAATATGAACAATCTATAACAAGTATATCTTACTTTCTCATTTGGAATATGATATAGTTGATAAGTGTAATTGTCATTAGAAATAAGCTATAATGTTCACTATTGTAATAATAATAATAATAAATAAATAATAATTGAATAGTTCAATTCATGAATCGATATAAAGTAGATCATTATGGAAAGTCTGATAGGATTGAATAGTTGTGATCAATGGAAATCAATCATGTATGTTATAAAGCAGTTATTCATTGAAAATAATGATAGACGGTTGTATAATATTGTGAATTAGTTAAAGTTACATATGAACATTGTTAGATGACAACCAACTTAGTGATCGCATGCGAGATCAAAGGTCTTTGACCGGATCATGAATGTGTACTGTCAAGGAATAGTTTCATAATAGAACAAAACGTCTATCCAGTACTTTTAGGTTTTCCATAGTAGTCTAGCTTTAATCGACTCATAAATTTCATCATTCACCCCCCCACACACACTCCACCAATTCTGATAGAAGAATAACAGTTTATTGAATGAAAAGAAGTAACTATTTTTTTAATCAAATATCAAGTTTCTTAGTGATGACTTTGGATGTTATTGAATAAAATCATTGACATTACTACTATTGGTTTTCGTTATAACATTTCGCCTGATGTTTAGTTTACACTGATGTATATTCAAGTGATTTGACCCAACTTGACAAATTGAATCATTCAAATAGCTTATCATATGGATGATTATAACAGAATAAGGGTATTATATCGAAATAATGCTTAGAACTTATTAGAACTTTCCAGAACATGTATTCTTCTGTTTCTCATCCTGAGGACTGCAACTACTTAATACTACTAGCTTCTGTAGGCAACTAGTTGATGAAGGTTAAATGAGACGAAACTCATCACTAGAATTTCACTATTAGTTACATTAGAAACATACTAAAGTTTTTTGTATTTGGAAAGTACAGTGTATAAATAAGTAGATTAGTCACAACGTTTGTATATGTTGTTTATTTGTTTGTTTTTTTTACTTGAATGATGTGTTTAGCTATAAAGTTTTCACTGTCTATCTAGACAAAGATGACGAACTATTAGACTTCCTCAATGTTCAAGAATAGAACAACTTCATAAAGTATCTGAACCTCTACATGAATAGAAATAAGTTTTTTATACAATTCTCTATATCAGTATGGTTTACCAGTAAGTTCCAAGTGGGACAAAACGTGCATCTTGGTTTCCGCTGTTAGCCACCATCTATCTTTGCTTAGAATGATTGTGAATTAGGGCTATATTGAGGCAATCCGTACAGGATGCACATGGGCTAATATTAAGAGACTAATCAATTGCAGTCTTAAATAACAATGGAAAAATTCAAGTAAACCATACCAAATGAATTTAAACTTCACCCTAATGAACAAGTTAGTTGCCAACAGGATGATTAACATGATATCTCTTGAAGCGAACAGTGTTGTGTTCGAGTCCTGGAGTGAACATCAACTCTGAGATGCAGGTACATCCAGCTGACGAGTCCCAAACAGGATGAAATGTGCATCCTAGATTCCACTGCTTATAATACATTACATGATTGATAGTTGTAAGCATAATAATGATCTTTATTGTATTTCATGTCTAAAAAGTTCTTAAGTTTGTCAAAAAAAATAACAGTCTAATGTCAGCACATGTCTGACAACAAAAAAGTGACCTCCATTAAAATAATATTAGTTAACATAACCTGTGAAGGGGAATTTTTGTGATGATGATTTGTTTATTACATGATGTTAGAAAATATTACTAGTAAACAAAATCAGTAGTATTTTTTACAAATTATAACTCAATATTAATACTAATGTGATGTGTACTACTGATGTCCATAGATATAAGTAGTATATATCATCAATCGAAATTGAAATGCCTGGTAGCAGAAAATCAAGCAGATCGAAGAAAAGAGAACGAGGACAAAGAATGATTGATGTGGAAACGAAGGAATAATGAAGTCTGAGACGACTAATTGACATTTTACAAATGAAGTATTCACTGCATGGTTCTTAGATTTTATAAAGATATTCTGTAATTTTGTGTTCAAATACATTTGATTGTCCCCATTTATGTTCTCATTCACTGCATTATAACTATTAGACATCAGAGAACACTGATACATTTCCTGTATCTTTCATTGTCAATGAATGCTTACTGATAAGTTGGGTTCGAACAAAGTATTTCAGATGTATCAGAAGGGGTTTTGTGAATATTATAGTAATTTTAATAGTTGAGACAAGATTGTGGATGCGCACTGCTGAGCAGGAGTCCGACGATAGTAAAAATAGGCCGTTCAGTGATTCCAGATTTTCCATGATGGTCTAGCTTCAATCGACTGCGATGTATTTGCGGTACACAGTTGAATGTAGTAACAGAAAGGCCTGTTTCATTTAAGTTTGATACTCTTTAACATATCTCAGTAAAGTGTATCTACAATCATGAAGCAATTAATACTTTTCTTATTAAGGTTCAACAGCCGGTCAACTAATGTTATCGTTAGCGGAACTGGATCACAGTTTGGATAGATGAGTGATGATATCTTTAAGTGATAGATTTCAATTTCGCCTCAAGACTATATATACATACACACACCTTCTTGAGAAGTACCAACTAGCATGAAACTCTGACCAATGCTGAACTTCCTAACGGTTGTTTACAATCACCTAATATGTTTTTTATGTTTCAATCAAAAGTGACAAGTTTATTGAAATACCATTCGTCTATGAATTACAGTATGACTCTATGCTGACTAACATAATGAATTAATCATCAGAAATAGGGATTTGTGGAGATTGTTGTTGTATTTTAACAGTTGAATCCACAAGCTAGAACATTAATCATTTAGATGGAAGGAAATAGGTTTGAATCTCATGTGAAAGATTGTGGATTTGCACTGTCAAGAAGGAATTCCATACGAGAATGAAAAAGATCATCTATTGCTTTCAAGTTTTCAATGATAATCTGAACATAAATATTCGTACAAATAAGCACCAAACAGATATGCACCACATAAATCATTCGATTTGTGTAAAGGCTGGGATACTGTCCATGTACTCAAATCGAAATAGGTGGTTTAATTAGGGGACCATACCCGTAGCCTTCGACTTAAGGCAGTTGAGCAACGTCAGGAGATACAGCCTCATGGTAGACAGTAACCAACCATTGGTTCATATACCATTTGTTCCTTCAAGATCCTAGAGCATTCGATTCAAAGGTTTGATCTACAATGTAGTGGAACAACGTCAGGAGATGCATTCCCATGGTAGCCGGTGACGAACGACTAGTTCATACGCCATTTTTTTCCCTCAGGATACTGTGGCTCATGGACACCAATAGTTTGGGATCAGAGCTTTTCAACTCTCCTAGATGGATCCTCCACATTCACCAACCCAGTTAAATCACTGGACATTCGGTTTTCATCTTTTCAATTCCATAAACAACCCCCCCCCCTGCGACATCACGAAAAGGCATTAAATAGAACTTTTCTATCAATAGTTGTATATACGTGACTATTTAAGAGTAATTCAACAGGAACAATCCACTCACTTCATCTTCAACTATACCATAGCAACTCATTATCATTAATCAATTAACCATAATAACATAATTAATATTAATATCAATAGTTTATTTAACTAACCTGTAGTACTTTCAATACAATAATTAATTGATAATAAATTTATTAATAAATGAATTAATAATCCTGATAATAAATTAATTTTATTTGTATAATATCCATACCATAATGTATATAATTGATGTAATAGAATCATTTCTATGTGTATATCTGAAATTGTCTATATATGTATATATCTAAGTGTCTAGATGTATTTGCCTCCTTCTAATAAGAGTTCTGTTCCTTTTTATATAGGATATCACTGATGAATTATGACTACTACTACTACTACTATTAGTATTATGAGTAGTATATCTATCTGTCTCTCTCTCTATATATATATATATCCGTATGTATATATATGGGAATGGGTAACCAGTGATTACGTAACCGTAATGAATGTTCGTTTGTTTGTTTGTTTGTTCACTTGTTTGTTTATTTTTCTTTTACAAATAAAAAAAAGGACAACCAACCAACCAACCAATTGATTGTAATAAATAATTTATCTAATAAAAATTAATATGAAACATGGAAAAAAAAGTTATTTATTTGATTATTTAATGATCTATAAACAAACAATAAATGTGAGTTATCTTTTATGGATACTGATAATGATAAGGATGGTGATGATGATGGCGATGATGATGATGGTGATGATGTTACCTTCAATAACATTAAAGGATGATATGATGAATAGAATGAATTTGGATTGCTTTTATAGTTGAATATATGTATACATACATACATATATATATACACACACACACACTCACATGTACACACTCACTCGCATACAAACACCGCAAACATTAAGTGACTCTAACGGAATTAATATAATAATGATGATAATAATAATGAACTGACCAATGTATAGTTAGTTGACTAATTAAATGTGAACTATTGAAATGTTTGTTTGTTTGTTTGTTTGTTTGTTTGTTTGTTCGATGATCCGGTTGTTTGTTTGTCATTGTTGATTTTTAGTTTTTCTCCTCCATTTATTGTGCTTAAATAAATTAATTAGAGATTCAGACAATCAGGTTATTTATACGCACGCACACGCACACGCACACACACACAAACAGAGAGATACAGAGAGACATAATTTTATTCACGCCTACATTGCTAAAGGAAATATATTTGTATAATGATACTCTACAGTATATAAAATACATTTTTCGGTAAAATAGTAGTAGTAGTAGTAGTAGTTGTTGTTGTTGTGGTGGTGGTGGTGGTGATGGTGGTGGTGATGATGGTGGTGGTGGTGATAGTAGTAGAACTAGTAGTAGTAATAGTATTATAACTAATACAACATTGAATAACAATAATTATGATGTTGATGCTTGATGTTTGTTTGTTTGTTTGATTTACGTGTGGTCCCTTCATCATGTCAAAGGAAAGCCATGTATATATATATATGTATATATACATATACACAAACAAAAAGTACATCTATACAAGTCATAGAAACGATACCATAAAGTGTATAGGGATAGTAATAAAATATACCGACTCACACTAACTTAACAATACATGCGTACATATATACACATTTTATTAGAATTACACACATATTAAACGAGAAAACGAATGATAATGATGAAATAATTGGGTCAGTACGGATCATTATATCATGATAGTTTGTAGATTATTTTTTTTTTGTTGTAAAAGTAACATTGTTTATTTGTGATCATGTAAGGTTAAATAATGAAAAATATACTAGATTTATAGATAAAAGAATAGAATGTTTCGTCCTTGTATGGGACTCCATGGTAGTGTGCATTTACGATCCTGCCTCGAGAGATTCGAACCCAGGTAAGAAACAGTGACCAGTGGAGTTCAACCGGGTCCATTATGAGATAGTAGTAACTCACTGGAGACAATTATGGATGTGTCACTCAATTTCGTGGATAAGTTGAAATTAGACATTAACACCGTTGAATGTCACGTTAGCGGTCTAGAGCCTAAGCGTTCGCGCGCAAGACCGATAGATCCTGGATTTGAATCCCGCATGTGAGGTCGTGGATGCGCACTACGCAATAGGACGAAACGACCGTCCAATGCTTTCAGGTCTTCTATAGTGGTCTAGCTTCAATTGATTCATGAATTCAATTATTAAATCATGATTAAAGTTAAATAAATATGGGAGAAGAGCTCTTATAGCTAAAAATTTCCCAGAATGTCAAGCTTATATCATTCGCAGTATTAATTTCTTTCTGTATCCTAGTGAGAATTTTAAATGTCAACTAAACATAGTATCTTTCTATAAACATATCAATAAAAGTTTACAAGATGGTTGAAGAGTTATGGATTGGCGTTTAAGAGAACTCATGATCCCTGGTCAGATTACTAACTAAGTATTCATATGAAAAATGACATCATGAAATTATCCATCCTATGGTGGCTTGTGTTTTGACACTATATTTTTGCTAATAATCTTTCATCAGTAAAGGATTTTGCAGACCACCACTGAAATATAGGATGCACTATATAACTGTATAAAACTTGTATATAACTTGTACGGAACTCTTCAGTACTGCACATCCGAAAACCTGCCATTGGGAATTAAACTGTAAACCTTAGATCTTGAGCACAGAAGCCTAAATTCCAGATCAATAAGTTGACAACCATTGATGTACATACTTTATTTCAATCCATTAAAGATATCAGGCAATCGTCTCTCATCCACACCAATTGGTGCCGTTTCAGCGGTCTAAAGATTAAACGTTTACACACCAGACTGAAGGTCCTGAATTCGATTTCTCGTGCCAGTGTCATTGGTGCACAGTTCTTAAAAACCTCATGTTAAGGTGAGACAACCATTATATTTCATGGGCTTTTTTCTCATAATCAAGACAACTTATCACTGTCCTGGTTTTCCTTTCTTTTATTGTAGCCATTATATTAGTCATTACTGTTGTGTTGTTTTTGTTGATTTGTTTCTTTTGCATAGTGACTAAAATTAAGTTCATTCATTTATATAAAGTACATTATCTATTCAATAAGTAAACGAGGTAAGATCACAAAAAACTCATTTTACATTGTTTAGGGTAAATGGTTTTTATCCTCACCAACACCACCACCACCACATTTCTTCAAAAAACGCTTCCCTTTTTCATCGATATAGTTATACAATCACCGTAACCGCTGTTTGAAACATCTTCGGAAGTTATTAGAAGTCTGTCCCTTTAGATGTCTTATCAATGATTGTCCAGAATATATATCATTCTAACAGTGTTCACTACTCTCACAGAAATATTTGATTCATTTGATAGGCATAGTTTTTCTAGTGTTTCATCTCTTTTTAAAGCCCTCCTATCCCATACACACGAACAAATACAGATGAAGACGGTTGCTGTAACAACAACCTTTGCATCAGTAGACCTCAATATACACAAAGGAAAAAGCAAGATACTCAAATACAACACAGAGAACACCAATCCAATCACACTTAATGGAAAAACTGTGGAAGATGCAGAACATTTCAGGTAGCTGGGGAGCATCATCGATAAACAAGGAGGATCTGATGCACATGTAAAGGTCAGGTTTGGCAAAGCAATAACAGCATTTTTACAATCAAAGAATATATGGAACTCAAAACAACTGTCTGTCAACCAATATCAAAGTCACAATCTTCAATACGAGCGTCGAAACAGTTCTATAGTACGGAGCTGAAACTTCAAAAACTACTACAACCATCATCAAAATGGTATAAGTATTTATAAATAGTTGTCTCAACAAGATACTCAACATCCATTAATTGGATACTATCAGCAATAGCCTACTGTGGGAAAGAACAAACCAACTTTCAGCTGAAGAGGAAAGTAGGAAAAGACGTTGGAAGTGGATGGGACACACATTTTGAAAATCATCAAACTGCATCACGAGACAAGTGCTATCTTGCAATACTGAAGGGAAACAGGAAAGACGAAGATCTAAGAACATACCACTTTGGGATTTGGAAGCAGACATGAAAAGAATGAATAGGAACTGGAAACAACCTGAAAGGATTGACCAGGATAGAGTTGGATGAAGAGTGTTGGTGGGCGGCCTATACTCCTCCACGAGGAACAACAGGCATAAGTAAGTAAGTAATCACTTTTTAAAATATAAACTAACATATTGGGTACAGAAATAGGAGACAATTATAATCAGTAAGATAAAGAAAGCATAAAGCAAGACCTGAAGAGATTTTAAAAAATAAGAAGTTGAGGATAACAATCTTACTTATAAGGAAACTGACACGTCTAATGACTGGCAGTCGAAAAAATGGAACATCACTCTGAGAGTGACGATTAAGGAGAATGTAACTAATGCTAAGTTCAATTGTGTTTATATTTAACAGACTTAGTAGCTCAGTTTGTATATTCATTAAACCACTCACATGTACACTGACAACTGTTTTATATAAGCGAAATAGATGATGGATAGCAGTGGAATCTAGGCCTCGTCAGCTGAATGTACCTGAATCTCAAAATTGATGTTCACTCAGGAACTCGAATGAATTACCGTTCATTTCATGAGCCATCACGTTAACCACTTTGCTACTGAGCCCCGATAGCCACTAGCTTGTGTAACGGCGTGAAGTCTAAATTCACTTTTGTTTTGTTTGTTCGAATCTTCCCATTGATGTTAAAGACAGCAATTGATCGGCTGACGAGTCCCAAGTAGGACGAAACGTGCGTCCTGAATTTCACTGCTAACCAATATCCATCTTCGCTTATAGTGCTTGTGACTCAAGGCAATATTGAGGCAATCCTCACAGGATGCACATTTGCCAATAAGAGACTGATCATTTTCAGTCCTAAACTATGTTACACAGTTTTGTCAGGATTTTACCTTTAGAACGTTTTTGCAATCAAATGTAACCTTTCATGATGGTAGATTAACCGCAAACAGTTCCTGATGACTGTCTGTCATCTTCTAGTAAGAAATCTATTTGTGGTTTTAGATCTTTTAAATAGAGTTCAGTCAACACTCGGGTTTATAGACAATACAATATTTATTACAATTTAATGAATTATTAATCCCAAAGACTATTTTAAAACCATTCAATTGATAGTAGTAATAGTATATTCTTTTTGATTAAGATCATGAGTCAATTGAAGCTAGAACACCATGAAAAACCTGGAAACACGAGATGGCCGTCTTTATCTTAGT